CCAGATCAGCGGTGGTGATGAGGGATCTTCCGTACCCCCCAAACAGGGCCTGGTCCGGTCGAACACGTTACCCAAAAGGAAGGCCGACGATGATCCTCGATCGAGTATTTCAAAGGCACCTCGAGTGGCCACATTATCCAGTACCGTGGCACCACGAACAACACAATCCCCTACTGCTGTCTCAAGACCCAATCTCCCATCGCGACCCGCCGATAGATCGATACCCTCACAACGACCCTCGAACCCCTCGAATGGTAGTAGTAAACCCTCCGTCTTGTCGTCCAAACCCATGAATGGGGGTAACAGGGTCTCCAAGCCTGTTGCCCCCAGCAGACCATCACCGGGTCCTGCTAGCGCATCTTCAGCACCACCGAAGAAGGGGTCTTTCGCTGAGATTCTTGCTCGGGCTCAGAAGGCCCAGCAATCGATGGGGCAAGTTGGTAAGATCCAACACAAGAAGGTTGAAGGTGGTGCGTTGAAGAAGGTCAAGGAGGAGCCACCTGCAAAGGTCGATCCTCGAGCAGCCAAAAATATGAAGCAACGCCCAGCACCTGCTCACTCAGGCTACTCCGGTACAGCGAAACCAGGTCAAAGGCCAGCTCAACGGAATGGCGCACCTGTGTCTGGAACCGGAAGGGATCCGCGTAACGGAAAACCACTGCCTCCGTCAAAGGCAGAACGTGGCAAGATGGCCGGCAGCAAGTCATCAGGCAGAGCCGCACCCCCTGAGGAAGACACAAAGAAGGTGAAGAAGGCCGCCATGGCTACGACTGGTTATACTGGCACAGCTAGACCCAGACCAGGAGGTGACGCCGGCAAGAAAAAGAAGGAAACCCCTCGTGGTGGTGCATTACTCAGTGCCCCACGAGCTCCTCGCCCATCGCGTTCAAAGTCACGATTTGAAGACGATTACGACGAGGATCTGGATGATTTTATTGACTATGACGATGAAGAAGACGATGTTGGTCCACGATATGATTATGCTTCCGATGGTTCTTCAGACATGGAGGCGGGCATGGATGATATCGACGACGAAGAGCGGCAAGCAGAGCGACTTGCCAAGATCGAAGATCTCAAAGAAGAGCGGCTCGAGAAGCAACTCAAGGCTGAGAAAGAGGCTCGTAAGCGACAGGCGTTGGAAGCCATGCGTGGTCGGCGTTGATGATGGAAACATATCGACGTCTACTCGTGCCATCTATTCGGTCACTCACCTCAGCTGGGTCTATCGTGCTTGGAGCTTACTCCCATAGCATCTGACATTGCCGACCCTTACTCACCTTTGGATGCCTGCACCATCCTTCTTTATTCGAGATTTCTTGATACGCAAGCAACGGTCGGGGAGTTTGTCAGCAAGGGGCGTTTCGCGAGCTTGACTTTTTTTTTATCATATCTTCACAACTACACCCTTTTGCACTTTGCTTCCGATTGTTTTAGGTTCAGGGGCTACATTAGCGACGGAGTTGTCATCTTTCCTCCCCCATTTTATTTCCCTCTGTTATATCTTCATTCAGGGGTTGGTTTGCATGGCTTTGGCAAAGGACACTGGTGATGCGGATGGATCAAAGACAAGAAAGGGACGAAATCATTGGAACCTTTTTATTTTGTCAAGATGGCGAAGTGGATGTACCGTAGACAGAGATGGATATATATAGACAACGCTTCACAATGATATCGTTGTCTAGAAGCAATTGTTAGACCTCACGATTCCTACGACATCCTATCTTATTCGCAAGGCTTTCTATCTCAACGTGATCTGGTTCTACGACTCCGGTGTCGTTTGAACCTTAGTTACTCATTTTAGCACCACACCATTAGCACAAACTTGAAAAGTACAGCGCACTCGCGCGACCATCGCTGTCTTCTAGGTTGTTACTTTAACGCAAACCAGTTGACACTAAACGTGTGTAACCATGAGTACCACAACTTTGCGGCGTCTATGGATAGATTCATTGTTCATGTTGGGAAAGACTGGCTGGGCAATGCGTATGACAGAAGCATGAAATATATATTTTCCGATCCCAAGAAGTCTAAAGTGTAGACGCCATTAATGCCCCTGACTGATTAAATAACGCCTCATTCCCCAGTCCAATCCAAAAGCAATGCACCTCGTAAACGTCCCAACAAATGTGGTAAACAATCTTCAGTGAAGCTCGCCACTGATATAGCCATGCTCTTCAACACCGTTTAAACAACCTGACATCGTTTGGATGCGTGAAAAAGGTGCAGACAACCCACAGTAAGCCCGACGTTGATAATCGGCTGTTATACTTATACACAGTATATAGGGAAATGGAATTCCAGGCCAGGACAACTATCCTTGTAAGGGTACTAAGCCACAATCTGGCGGGCCAGATATCGATCAAGACAATATCGGGCCAGCACCGTGACAGAAGTTGATCAAGGAAGATCGTCACTCTTGGATGACTTCCCACCAGTGCTTCCATAAGGCCTCAGGTTCCATCCTTGATATGGTTTGACTCCCTGAGTGCTGTTACCGTTGGCACTAGGGATGATGGACGGAGGTGGGTTATGACGAGGCAAGTTAGGCTCTCGCTTGATAGGTGGAGGGGGAAGTGACGCCGATGCAGCAGGAAGAAGGCTTGAAGGAGGCGGATGGGCCGGTAGGTCAGCCGTGACTGGCTTTGTCTCCTTTTTGACCTCAGGCTCCTCAGGCTGCATGAGTCCCTTTTTGCGAAGATACTGGATTGACTGAAGGACAGTAAGATCTTCCTGCTCCTTGTCGTTGAGAATCAAACGTTGCTGAATAGTGAGCCGTCCATTGTTGGCCTCACGATCCTTCATGGCTGCTTCGCGGACTTCAGGATCATGGACGAAGCGGCACTTGCCCTTCTTGCCGCATGTTCCACCAGTGGAATAATATTTGCAGTGCTTAGATACGTCGGCTTTCTTGGCCGGCGGAGGAGGCGGGGGAGCAACATGGGCACGAGTAGACATAACTTCTGGCTCGTCATCTGATGACTCCTCTGATGGATCTCGCATCTCGTCACCTTCGTCACCCTGTTCTCGCTTTCGCTTGATCGACGACTCAACTTTGCGCAACTGTCGTCTGAGTTTGTCGGCTTGTTTCTCTAGCGAGGAGGCCTTGTCTTCGCCATTCTGTGCCAACTCGGCAGTCTTCTTGGCTTCTACGCGTGCCTTAGTGGGGAAATGCTTCTTTCTCTCCGCTAGGAAAGAGGCAACATCTTTCACACTGTAATTGTTAGCAATATTATAGCGGAAGGGCTACCAGTACTTACTTGAGTGTTTCTTGTCCGATCAAGTCCGTCAAAACCTTCTCCTCACCTTCGTCATCTTCAGACTCCGAATCCATACCAGGTGTAAGACCAAGCGTGTTGGTCTTGCGCTTCTTCTTCTTTCCCAAAGTTGGGGTTTCGGACTTATGATGAGCAGAGTCGTTATTTCCATGTTTCTGGTGACGTGACTTGTCATTTCCATGGTGGCCTCCGCGACCTCGAGCGTTACCGTCACGAAAGCCTCCTCTACCACGACGGTTGTTGTGGCCGTAGTAGCCGTCCTGATGATGACCAGGGGGCAGAGGGGGGCCAGGGTATGCTGGATACTGAGGAGGAGGATAGTGAACTGCTCGTGGGTCATGAGGATAAGGCTGACCATAGCCGTTAACTGGTGGCATGGCTTCATGCTCATATCCAGGTCGCACAGGACCATTTAACGGGGGCTTAGGGCCATTGCGGTCATTGTAACCGCCGCGACCTCTCCCGTTGCTGCTATAAGGGCCTCCTGGGGGCTGTCCAGCACCACTCCACTGGGCCTGGTTTGGGGGAGGTGGCCCTTGGTAAGGATAGGCCTGCGGAGCGCCGTAAGGTGGCTGCTGGGGGTATTGAGAGGGAGGGTATGGCTGGGCAGGATAGTTGGGATGGTAATTGCCTTGAGGCATAGAACCTTGCGGATGCCCATGAGGAGGATGCCCATGCTCTGGTCCCCATTGAGGCTGCGGAGGATAGCTTCCTGCAGGGGGATGCGCGGCACCGTAGGGGGGCGGGTTGTGATGGGGAGGATATGGCTGGCCATTGTATTCATAGTGACCTTGAGGAGAGCCATGGTAGTCTCCACGGCCGCCATTGTAATGGCCACCGCGTCCTCGTCCGTGATGCCCTCCTCGACCCTGGCCATGTTGAGGGTACGATGGAGCTTGTGGCCCATAACTTGACGTTCCACCAGAAGAAGGCGGTGGTGGCGGAGGTGGAGGACCGTAACCGTAACCTGACATGGTCAAGATAAGTGTTGATGACAACAGACGTCGGAGCGTCGATGCTCAGGTGGCAGGATTTGAAGATCGCGAAGGGCAAAGTCGGATTTTCTGCTGGGGATCGAAGCTTCAGGGTGTGTGTCTGTAATTGAACCGATTGTTTGTTCGCAAAGTTACTCGATGGAGTGTCGGTATTCAGTGAGACGAAAGTCGGGAATGGTAAAAAATCTAGGGAGTTGGTGTGACCGAGTGAAAGTTTATGGGGGATAAGATAGGTAGCGTTGAAAAGAATTCAAGTAAAAGAGGGTAGGAATCAGAGTTAAAATATGCTGTTGGAACTCTCAGGCTGGTAATTGGGGCAATGGCACCAGGACTGCAGTTGCCCGTTTGTGATGCCCTTTCCAAAAAAAAAAAAAAAGAAAAGACGGCACGACAATGATTGAAAGACGGAAGGAGCTTCCTCTGGAGCGCCAGACTGTGATGAACTTCCCTGTACACCGCAGTCGCGGTTGGTGTACCAGTCTTTTCTAGGAAGGCGGTGAGATGCTTGGAGCTTCAATCCAACCCAAGGCGGCTTAGCGGCACTGACATTCTTTTCTGCCGCTCCCAAGGTTCTTTGGACACTGAGAAACACCCTGAGGCTGGTACGCAAGAACTTCATAGAGCTCAATTTCTTTTCATACCTAGGCCTTGAGCGATCTTTTATTTCTCCCTTGTCCCTGACTTACCAAAAGACTCACATTGGCTCATTTTCTCCGCGCTCAGTGTTCCAATGTTCATCCTGGTTTGTTTCGCCATGCTGTGGAGGCATGAATGAAGAACTCATAAGTTGTTTAGACCAAGATCGCCGACTTGGTGCAAATTGCGCCAGAGGATTTCTCTAAGCGCAGCATAGACGCAATCGAGGACAACATCAATGCCAAGTACTCTAATAAAGTGAGATTTATCTTACGCATTGCATATTGAATCCATGACTAACAGAGCGTCGCAGGTCATTCAAAAGATTGGACTCTGTATCTGCTTGTACGATTTGCAGTGGGCTTCAGAGGGTCTCATTGGTCATGGCACAGGCTTGGTAAACGTGAACAGTGAGTTGAAACAAATGTACTTTGAAATTGAGGTGGATTAACGAATCATCGCGCAGCTGAGTTTCGTATGGTTGTATTCCGTCCTTTCAAGGGTGAAGTCATGATTGGCAGAATACGAAGTTCTACACCCGCAGGTATCAATCTGAGAACAGATTTCTTCGACGATATCTTTGTGCCGTTTGAGGAGTTACCAGAGGGTGCTGAATAGTGAGAAGCCCCTGATGGTTTACGTATGCAGATACTAATACCGTGCAGCAACCACAGCGAACAACTCTGGATCTGGAATCTCGACGAGGATCGACTCTTCTATGATAACCATGAGATGGTTCGCTTTCAAGTAATCGATGAGGAGTGGCATGATCAAGCTCCTGCTGGACCAACACAAGCCGAAGATTCACCCTTGAAAACTCCGTACCGCATCAAGGCCAGTATGGCTGCTGAAGGATTAGGCGTATGCCTGTGGTGGGATGGAGCATAGTGTTGGATAATGGACAGAGGAATTATGGAAGAACATGGGCCCAAGAAAATTATGTCACCGCGTTTTATTTGGCGCATGTACATTTGCTCGTTCTATGAATCTACGATTTGATACCCGCCAACAGACGTTCCTCAACGTTGTCCAGAACAGAGTAGTGCTCCACAACGTTCAAGTTCTCAATCTCAGCCACGAACTGCTTGTGGGGGTCCTGGCCAGGACCACCCATCATGGGGTTGGGCATCTGCTGCGCTTGCATTTGCTGGGCAACCTGGCTGGCGGCTACATTGTGTTAGTGGAGGATCAAGGAATTGCAGGCCAGGACGCTTACCATTGTCGCTTCCAAGAAGGAACACATAGACAAACTGGAGACCGAAGATGCAAAGGAAGTACCAGCTGATACTGGACATCCATCGAGGATCCATTTCCCTGGTCTGAACACCAGCCTGGAGCATGCTCTTGAATTTGATAGTAATGGGGAAGGGTAGTTTCACTATAATACTTAGTATTTCCCAGACTCAATGATGAATGAACATACTGATAACATATCCGCTGAAGAAGGCGTTGATCCAGCTCATGATGAGCGTATTGGGGATAATCATAGCCATATTGTTCTTCATCATACCCATCATGCCGTCCATCGCGCTAGGATCGGACAGAGGGTTGGCAGGAGGTTGGCCCTTGCGATCGGGCTCCTTAAGGTATGTTCCAGCCTCGTAATTGGTTGTCAGAACATCACGTCGAGATTCGAAGGCCTTCTGCGAAAGGACATGGTGGTTGGTCCGAAGAGCTACACCCCGAGCAAGGAAGCGTTGTTCACGCATCGCCTTTTCGTCCTGCTTCTTAGGTGCTGTCGCCATAAGGACAGATGCGTAGTGACGGAGCACACCAGTCAAGACCATGACAATGGTGATGGGGATAAGGATCCAGTAGCTAAAAGCTCAAGTTAGTGGCTTTTGTCCATTGGCGGTCCATTCGGGAGGCAACGAACAATAACTGGGGATCCCTATGAAGGGTCTGAACCGGAGCTTGCGCCATTATGTCGATATTCGAGGACGTGGAATAGCAGCGTTGGGGGCGAAGCTGATGTTCGCGTTGCAATGGAGCTGTTGGAGATGTGAAGTTCAAGGTCGTCAAATAGCCACGATTCAAGGCAATCGACGCCACATGTAAGCGGAGCTGCACGATTGGTGGCGGTACACTAACGACCCTGGAGCAGCCACACTTTACAGAGGACTTTAGCTGTTCGGGGTTAGACTTTCGATGAAGGGACAGCTATCCACACGCTTCGCTTCGGCCCCACGACAGACTTCCCATGACAGCGAATCTCGATACTTGTACACAGAGAAAACGACCACTTTCTTTAGCAACATACCACAGCATTCAATTTCTCCGACACAAGCCATTGCGGGCTTATAATATATCATGGCAAACGCCGCTGAGAAGATCTCGGTCTACAATCTTGCTGGTAAGCTTCCCAGCTCCTTACAAGCTCTTATACGAGACAATCTTCTGACACGGTGGCTCTTCGCGACACAGACCTCAAGAACACATCCGACGATGCTATCCCCAACTACCTAAACTCTCTAAAGTTCCGCCAGTCTCATACCCTCACCGATGTTCGCCTTGCGCTCGGATACACTGCTTTCGGTGTTGCAGCTGCTTGTTTCCTCTGGGACTACAAACTTGGCTTTGAGAGCACGAAATACTACACAGCTGCTGCCGTTACGCTCTACACTTTGATCAATGGCGCCTTGACACTATGGATTATGTTCCGTGAAAAGGGTGTTGTGTACGAGGGAACTTCACCCTCAGGAGAGAAGGTCAGGCGAAGTTACCCGCATCTTCTTTCCAGTCTACTAACACCTTTGTTAGATCTCCATCAGCAGCTCTACAAAGAAGAACGTCCCTATCTACAACCTCACTATTACCGTCACTGATAAGAACTCGAAACCCACCGTTCACAAAATCTCTAAGCCTTTCAGCGGCTGGTTCGACCAGACCGGCCAATTTGTTGCTGTTCCCTTCCAGGAGCTCCTCGCCAACTCAGTAACTTTGATCGGCAAGCGGGACCCCAAGCGTGTCACCGTCTCTAAGGAGTTGTTGGATGCCAGCCCCGACGTTCTCGATGCTATTCTGGCTGCCAACGCCACTGGTGCCGAGGCCGCATCCACACCAGAAGTAACTGAGAAGAAGGGTGGCAAGCGACGCAAGGCGTAAAAAAGGGGGTATGAGAGAATAAGAAGTGGTTATGTATAGTATGGCGTTTGTAGGGAATCTTATTGATACCATGCACTGGCAGGACATTGTCAGAACTCCGGCAGAAGGTCCGGCTATGGCTCTTGTGCTGAATTGTTGTCCAATTCTGAATGATCTCTTTGTTATATGAACCTTTTCCGACTACCTATCTAGCGCCAATCACGAAAAGGAGATCAAGTCCCAATATTCTAGCTATTACATTGCCTCTATGTAATAAACAGCTCATCATCTTACTTAAGATCTGCCCAAGCTGCCCGGGCCAATCGTGCTGTCTTTCTCACCTCTCGTACGCGGTGTCCACAAACCAATGTCAACTGCCGTTGCACTTGAGGCGCATGTGGTATCAAGTGCTGGGAGTCGTATGTCTGTGGTAGGCTCCCCACGATCTCCAGCGCAAGCTTGCCACAAGCACCCTCCGTCTCTACATCAGCAGATGCGGATGATGGCTTATGCGAGAAGACGCTGCTGCAGATCTTGATGATGCTTCGAATATGCCCCTTGCCCTTCTCAGGAGCCTCTGCCAGTGTATTCTTAATCACGTCCAGGGCCGCCTTGGTTTCAGGGCCAATGCCACTGTTTTGCGCAACAGCGATCGAGATTCGAAGGATGCTGTCTGCATCTGCTTCATAAATTGGGAAATTCATGTGCTTAACCATGAGCAACACGGCGGTGCTGTAGTTCGCCTTGACGTGTTGGTCCTGGACCTCTGCTCCCTTTCCAGTAGCGGCTTGTAACATTGGGCCGACGAGTTGGAAATAGACCTTCTGGGTCCAGAGAGGCTTGACGATGGCGTAACACTCCTTGGTAAGCGGTTGCTGAGGGGCCACGATCATTTCGAGTCGCCGAGCGAGTTCAGTGCCAAGTTTGGGATTCTTAGGCGACTCCTTGACCACATCTAATAGTGTCTTGGCCTCCTTGCCGCTATATCGTCTGACCATTCCCGCAACAAGGGCATATATAGAAGTGATTTGCTCCAAGCGAGAGGCGTCATTTTCTGACGTAGATGCGGGTAATAGACTTGAGGATCGTTGCTCCAGAGCTGTCATAAGACTTGGGACAGTCTCAATTTTGAATTTGTTTGCTAGAATAGTCAAAATGGAAAGAGTTACTGGTCTGCTAAAGTTTGTGTCCGCTGCAAACCCGCTGAGAATCAACTCTTGGGCAACCCCAATGTCAAACTACAACCGAGTTAGTAATAAAGGATACGGGTTGTGATCACAGTGACCTTACCAGGCGAGATACTGCTGATGGCTGCAAAGCCTGCAGTATACCAAAAGCTAGAACATTTGGTGCTTCGGACGCTAACCAACTCCAAGACGAGCCATTCTCCAAGCTTGACTGGGCTTCCGGCGCCGTCTTGGGCACCGTAATCGACTCATCACGGAAGAGGCTAATGGCAAAACTCTCGGCCTTGAGTGATGTTTGTTGAGTTTCACTGAACTCGTGGATGACAAAGCCTGCAAGAGTGGATATAAGATGAAGGTACTGGTGCCCAGAGACTTCATCGACGTTGGCGAAGTCATCACTCAAACTCAGAGCTTGTTTGCCTGTCTGAGGATGTGTATCAATTACCTTGGTTGCTCGGCGATAGAGTTGCCTAGCAATGAACAGGGTAATGAGTAAGAACTCGCTTCTTATCTCGGTCACAGAGGCTGACTGAGAGACTCGGCTATGGTATCCGGGAGAAGACTCAGCTACTGTCTCCCCGCCAAGCAGACTCAGCGCAGGGTACGTAGAGCCGATCTTCTGTAAGGGCTCGTCTTCGATGGAGAATTCTTTGCCGGAATTCTTTGCCAAGCAGGCGTCGTTGAAATATCGAATCGTGGATTGGATTGTAGCGACCAGGGCACACCAAATTTCAGGATTCGACTTGGACTCGAGCGAATCAAAGAGTTCTGACAGGAATGCGCGGATAGAGTAAATGAAGTGATCGAAACCGTCGCGTGGTGTGAAAGGTAGTTCTGAGGAGCCTAGGTATGCAACCAAACCTCCAAGAGTCTTGATCGTCTCAACCGTATCGGTAACATTGCCATTTTTTTGGCTGGAGCGTATGATACTCAAACTCTCATCCACGAGACCATTGAAGCCACGAGGAAAGTACCGAATAGCCCGTTGGAGAGCCTGGGCAGCATCGTTAATGAGTTCATCGCCCCCAGATGATCGAGGATGCCCGGGACCCGACTTCTTGAGAATGGCAAAGAGGGATGAGCAGATTTCTGAGCAAGTTGACTCGGGAAGTAGTCGCTGAGAAATGTCGCTTGCACCATTTTCTGAGAGATCCAATGACTTGGATGGCCGTTGACAAACCAAAACTCCAGCTCCCGGGACGGCTTGCGTAGCAACCTTGATATCATCATAAGAGGCATCCGGTTTAGAGCCGAGGTTCACAGGGTTCTTGAAGACATCTTCATACAGAGACTTGAAGAAACTGTCGATAGCAGCAAAATCCTCCCGGTCCTCAGCGGCCATATTTGTGTCAACTAATAGGAAACGAGTTTCTAGGATGACATGCAAGACTTTCAGAAGGTCCTGGGTGTGAACAGGTGCCTTTGGATGTCGCAAGTTCTCTTTGATATGTGTAATGACGGGGGCAGCCATTAAGACGAAAGCACTAGGCTTGGAGCTCAAGACACTGACCATGAGTCGGCCGGCGGATGAGGCATACATGGTTGTCGCAAGATCTGGTACGCAGTCTCGGGTAACCGATAATGTGTAGTCGCGGAGGCTATCCCCAGTGAGTCGTCGAGTGAGAGACTTGAGAACTTCCAATGTGCCCCAGATGGTATCTTCAATCTCTCCGTTTCGAACCTCATACTTCAAGCTGCCCCATATTTGATTGGCATAGGGGGCAATTGCTTTCTGAGGATGGCTGTACTCATCAAGACAAGCTTGCATAGTTTTGAGGATATCGAGCTAGTTTCGGTCAGCTTAACTTCTCCCTGTAAAGAAAGGGTTCTACCAACCTTGACATTGACCGTCACAGCGTCACCCTGATCCAGTTTGCCCAAAAGGAATGGAAAGACCTTATCAGCTAGTAAGTGGTTTGCTGAAAAGCACTTTCGCAGTGCTAGCTTCAGCTCCTCAGGGGTGATTGCAACCTGAGATGCTCGAGGGAGTGAAATGGGAAAGTATGGCTTGAAAACACCATATACCTCTTCCAATACGTCTTGAGAGACTGTGTACTCAGACATGAACAATCTCAAGATATCAAACCACACCATCAAACACTCGGGGTCTCTTTCACTTCTGCACAGTTGAATCAGGTCGAGCATAAAGCCAGCAGACGAGCCGTGTGTGTTCTGCAAGTCACTGGCGACACCAGGAGTTGTCATGAGTAGTCGTATGAGCTCGTAGATTTCGAGTCTGGTCTTGGATACTTGGCGTGGGAAGTCATCCTTGAGAGAGCACACCTTCTGGATAATGTCGTGTCCCATGTGCCGCTGGAAGGACTTCATGGCGACTATCCTAGATAGAGCACTTGCAGAGGGCATAATTCCAGCTTTATGATCGACCTCGAACATGGCTCCGAAGAAGCTGACCAATAGTTTCACTGATCAATTGTTAGACGAAATCGTATCCATGTTTTATACAAGAGCTTACCTTGGCTGGGTTTCAGAATATCACTGCTTAAGAAATCCAACGTCCGTGATAAAAACTCAAGCGCTATTCAAGTTAGACATGACCGATGCCACGGCGCATGAACCAAGACTCACCCTTTGCCCTCGCCGTCCAATCTGGTGTCTCATTCTCAGCCTCATTCCCACCACCTGGCATCCAAGGCTGCACAGCTTCGACCCATCGAGCTACAGGGTTTGTATTGGCCGCCGCAGTTTGAATCTCTGGACAAAGTCAGAACAGCATCATTTAGCAGGGATGGACTAAAGTACCGTTGGCAGCCTTGTTGGCTATCGCTGTCTGTTGCCCCTCATTGTCTGCCAGAACAAATTCAAGAGCCCATTGCCTAAAGTCCGCCATGATAACACAGCGTTAGACCGCGCAAGCCTTTCGATCCTCTGTTTTGGATATACAAAGCCAACTGTTCGCCCTATCCCAAACAACTTATAAAGAGAGACCTGCAACTTTGCCCCTCGAGTTTGCGATGGTGAAGTGGCAGAAAGTTGATGCCCACCAAAAGCGGTGAAATTGTATGGCGGGGTAGTTGAGCACTGTAGTTGGCTTCCTGCAGAGTGATGTCAAAAGTAGGAAAACAATATGAGAGACGTTGTGAAACAAGTTCCAGATTCTTCAGTATATATCCTGGGTTTCGAGGTTTTTGATACAAGTCTCATCAGATTGGTCCAATTGCTGAAGCCCTCTTTGTCATCATGGATGCCAAACTCCGAAGCCGGCTGTCCCATCATTCCGCAGACACGGCCCCACTACAGTATTTCTTGGGTTGAGTGACGACAGCGAATTTTGGTGGCCAACCCCTGTATTTCTTTCTCCGTCATCGACCTTCAAAACACATCAACACAGTTGAACTCGACACGTCCACAGGTGGCTTGTCGACTCAATTGACCTCCAGTATGGCATCAATTCGAATTCCTGCCCTTCGCCGGCTCGTAGCCGCTCCCATACGCACCACCCGAGCTATCAACCAGCGACGATGGGCTCAAGTTCACGATATTCGCTTCCTCGCAACAACCCAACCTTCGCAAGCCGTCGTCGAGAAGTACAAGGAGAAGCTGAATCAGAAGGCCCAAAAAGAGGGCCTCCAGAGCATCGACCAGCTCAAGGCAGCTTACGCTGACAAAATCGATGCTGAGCGTCGAAAGAGTGGCATTGAGATTCCAGTTGGAACAATTCCTCAAGCACCCGAAACACCAGTTGTTCAACCCAATGCCGACGACCCCCCTGGACAAGACCAACCCACCAGAGACCCTCGCGATCCTCCTACCACTCCACCTCAATACCCTCCAAACGGCTCGGATAAGCCTGCTATCAAGTCTCTAAATGACATCATTGACCTCCCCAAGGCACGGGAGCTCCCAGAGAAGGAGCTTACAGCTATCTGGCGTCTACGACATGCCTCATCTGAGCAGAATCTCTGTGCAGTAATCCCTATGTCTACATACAAGGCCATGGAGGATGCTGCACGAACAGCACCTCAGTTCGTCCTCCCGGTGCCTCATCCCGCCCAGGGCGCAGAGATTCACTTCCTGCAGTGGACCTTTGATGCTGCGTCCAAGACCAGCACTGTTCTGTTCACCCAGCTTGCTGAATACAAGAACCGAGGCGAGTTTGCGCAGCCTCACACTACCATCACACACCACCTCGACCTTGCCGATGAGCGAGGTCTGGTTTTGATGCAGGGCCAGGTCCTGCCTGACCGAGGGGTTACACCAGAGAACGCCAAGTGGCTACTCATGTCTCTACAGCGGTTCTATGGTGGATGGGATGGTGAGGAAGTCGAGCTGACTGGTGAGCGTAAGGATAGGGCTGAGGAGCGAAAGAAGCTGCTGAACTGGTTCGCAGCTGGCGACTCAAGATTCAGCGTTGACAAGTTGCTGGAGGAGGCTGAACGCATGGGTTAAGTATGGGTGCATTCGGTTTCAACCATGAGTTCCGCACCACGATTTTGTGTTAATACAGGCAAAGAGCCCAACATCCACCTAAGAAAGGCGACGAATTGTAGAATATACGACTAGTGCACAAGACAAGGTAATTCAAACACCTGCCACATCCTACGATGCTTTCTCGTTTTCCGTGATCTTATTTCTTCGGTAAAAACGTCGTAGAGTTGCTACTGAGCACTGCAGTTGATCAGGTACTACAAAGTATGAGACATCACCTAATACTAACTTAATCCATGAATTAAATGATTTGTCTAAACTCGTTGCCTCGGTATTCAACGTAATGTGACAACCTCAACGCCATCTAAACAACACTATCGCCCCATAATGAAGTTCAACTCGAATCATCTGACAGTGTTGATGTTCACAAAACCAAGCAGAGGTATCCGTAACATGATATCAATCCATAATGCTCCAATCCGTGTATCCTTTTTGTGTTCCATGTATCTCCGTAATCGTCTTTCATCTCGGTGTATTGCTTTCGTGTATATCGTTATTTCTCTTCGAACACTTTCTAAGTCTCGCCACTGCTACTCGATTGGCACTCCTCTACCATATCTTCTTTGACAGACAGTTTCGCCTTTTCTGGCAGCACTGCCTCACAACCCTCAGGGACGCGGCAAATATCGCGTGCATTGCATGTCTTCCATAGAACCTCACGTACTTCCTTAAAAACCTGATCGACCGCATCCATCGCCCAGATGACATCTAGATGTTCGTATTCAGGGATCACCTTGCTGTGGACCAGGTTGACATGAGGCTCGCGGCCCTTCTCAAACCGCCGGAGCAGTTTCCTTCCGTCAACAAGATCATCGTTACCACAAACCCACATAGCCATAGGTGGTGCTTGTTTGTTGTACCACGCGGTAGAGCCCTTGGGATGTTTCCGATGAGCTTCGAGCGCCGACGAGGTCCTTGGCGTCACGGGTCGTCCGTCTCTCTTGGAATCCATGTGCTCCTCAGTCCTAACAATCTCTTTCGTCGACAAGATACATTTGTGCTTGGCAAAGCACTCTCGGCCAAGCCACCACCGCATAGACTCGGCGCTGACGTAAACAGGCGCAAACTGGAACATGCGGTTGCGAAGGCCACGATCCCAACGGACGTCAGTCCAGTCAAACAGGAACGAGAAGACTTTGTAGCCAAGCCAGCCATATAGACGGGGATCTAACAGTTTGTGCATCTGCATCATGAAGGGGATGAATGCATGGATGCCAAACATGAGACGAAATAGACCTGGCGAAATGATTCGCATGAACTTGAAGTACATTTTGCCGATCAACGGCCCAGCATATGCGGCTGGGGCGAGAGCACAGAATACAGTCAGCTTCTCTCCCAGCTCAGGTCGTTGTTCTTTGGCCAAGGCGACAAAGGTTTGAGTTGTGCCTTGAGAGTGGCAGATAAGGCCAATCTTTTCGAAACCCGTCTCTGTGATGACTCGCGACGTCAACGCGGGAAGATCGAAAACACCCATCTGTCTAATATTCCAGCACCACATCCTCGGGTCGCTGTACTCAAGCAGTGCATGCTTGGGCTTGAATCCGCAACGGTTGTTGCCAAGCCAAACGTCATAGCCAGACTTGCACAGCCAGAAAGCGAGAGAGTCGTCATCATTACAGCAATAAGCACCCGAGCTTTGTAGGAGACCATGCATGAGCAGCACGGGGAACTTTGGCTTCTGTGATGGGTCTTTGAGCTTCTTCCTCTGGGGTTGGAACACTTCCGGCCCCTGATCAGACCTCAGGCTTTCCTCGAGTTCAGTATACTCCTTGGGGTCGTAAACATGCCATAAGTCGATTATGAATCCATCTTCGGTCTGAACCTCAAATGTCTCAACATCTAGACCAACCCTGCGCGCATAATATGCGACGTCACAGATGATTGGGTCTGGTCCGCCCTCGGTTGGTGGGAATTCCTCAGCATTTTCCATCCTGTCTAGCGTTCGTCCATTTGATGATTTTTGCTTCCAGGCCTTTTCTTGCTCGTGTCTTGCTTGAGCTCTGCGTTTCTCCTCTTCATAGAACGGCCTATCAGAATCAGGATCGCGAAAAGTTAACCGGTACCAGATATTCTTCCAGATCATGGGCATCGTCGTAAACAATGAGCCCAAGACGATAACTCCGAGAAATGCCAGGCTGAGAAAGAATGCGCTGATTCGAAAGAACATGCATTGAAGATTGCGCAGCATATTTGGAGGTCCATAGAGCGGCAGTGGAGGGAAGAGAGGATTGGTATGAGAAGGGGGTGTCTGCTTTCGCAATGTGCTGTTGCTGTTGGACTTTTGTAGAGATGCGCCATTCTGTTCTGAGGGCAACTGAACAACCTTTTTTTGCTCGGGGTTTGCCTTCTCGACGTTGGATATCCTCTCTTTGGTTTCATCTCCTGCTTTGATTTCGACACTCTCAGGCTTGCCTTGAAGCTCTTCCCTCAGGACATTGAGCTTATGCGCCTCCTGTAATGGCACACCCGGGAGTCGTTTTCCATCTGAAGTGATGATGACAGGATCATGGGGCGTGACAAATTGTGCTTCAATTGCAACTCCGGGGTCTTCGCCTGTTGGGTGTTGGTGTGAGAGCTTCTCAGCTTGTTGTGTGAATTGGACGGCTGTTTCGGCTAGCTTCTTGCCAACAACTTTTGGGTGATGTTCCTCCGTCGTAGTTGACGAGCCATGTTGTTGTTGTGTCATAGTTTCTATGCAATTATGGATTATGATGACCGACTTGGCCAGTAGAGAATGTGTAGATACCAGATGATAATATGGCTATGGCTGTGAAGAACAAGTACCTAGGTAGTGGTAGTCGAGCGATTGGACGACTGCCGACCTTGGAAGAGAGATCTACTGTTCAAGGAACAATTCGCATGTCGGAAAGGGACTGATTATAAGGATTACGGAGATACAGATCCAGGACGGAGATGGCCAATGCAAGAACAGGTCAAGGATCGATAAAAAGAGGGTGGGATCATAAGGAGAATAGATCAGATGGTGTACGTCCAATATTCCACTTAACGGGCAGACCGATTGTTGACTTGAGTCTCGGTTGTTATGCGGTGTATCAGGGACTGGCGTGATGATGAGAAACTGTCAAGACTGTCTAGACCGAGTCTTTTTCTTTTGTGACGGTTAGAAAGAAGGGGAAACGCCGTTTCAAATTCATCAAACAGGCCGGCAATGTTTAATCATGGGAAGTGACAGGGCAATCAACTGTGAATGGTCGCTAATAAGATGGAGTTGCGTCATGGGAAGTCGATAGGAGCAGAGTTTTGGCCAGACAGCCGGATTTGTGGCGGGACCGCGACTTTAATGAGTGATGATCCTTGCTGAAAAGCATGTGAAGGCTGTCAAAAGGGGTCTAAGAGATCATCTAATTTGCGTTCTCAGCTGTACCGTACTGTATGTTTTGGGTGATCATGCTGCAATAGACACTGCCAACGGCCAAGAATTGATGATGCGTGTGACATTCTTTTTCTGAGTACTCCGTACTGCTTGCTTATACAGTTGGGGAAATGATAAGAGCGTATTCGCGTCGTAAACGATTGCCAGACATCCATGATGTATGATTTCGTTTTCGTCCATATGATGCTGATGCCGAAGACACTTAGATAAGTTAGACCTGAACAAGTAGGATCAAGTATCCAATGCCGCTTGTGTCATTCCTCATGCAAGATAAGCTATTTTCAGCTCCTGTTGATCTTGCGCTGTGCTTCGTTTCTCCAATTGAAGCGTTGCAGGGTCTCGCCACGAATCGACCAACCCTGGACTTGGCTTTTTACCCCAGGTTGGAGACGCTGGAGACGTTGGACTCTGGAGTTGCTGACCGATACCCGCTGTAGATTTAGGTAGGTACTGGTAGGAGACTGAAGGAAAACTTGGGTAGAATCTCCATCCAAGATGACAAAAAGGCTTAGATAAGGTATCTTTACCTCGCTTAGGGGACTATTTGATGAGTTTACTTCCATTTGGCATCTTCTTCTATTTTTTTTGGCTGTTGCGCACGCTTCTCCGCGTTCGGGGCATCTCACGGGCTTCTCGGTCTCGGTACGTATCTCGGAGCGGCAGAGACCCCCGTGTACTGGTAGCACCTACCAACCTTAGCCAAAGCTGGGAGAAGCCGAGGCAGGCCACTGTTGCTGCTTCGGTCGCTCTGAGCCGCTGCCGAGCTCCAAAGCCACCTCCAATTTCTTAATCTCAACCTCACAGTCAGTAGCTTCATCCTCATCCCCTTGGGGTTTCCTTTTTGTTGTTTACGCGCAATTGTATACTCGAGATTGCTCTTTCTTGTCTGTTTGTCCAGATCTTGCGATTTTACCAATTGAAGGATTCCCAGAGCGATGCAGTGATCCCCGCGTTTGCGCCTCGAGCTTCCTGTTACAATATCGTCCTCCGCAAACTTTACCACATTCCCTCAAGCTTGACTCCTTCTTAAGATGGCGTCCTCTTCAAAGCCAGCTTTGACTTCAAACAGGCGGAGGAACCGCAGACGGCGTCAGGACAAGCCTGCAATAACGGCAAAGCTGGTGCTTGACGATCACATCAAGAGCGATGTCGGCATAGTATCCGAAGACATCTTTCGAGATCTCTTTCCCCATCTAGGTAACGGTAAGTGAAGCACATCTTTCATTACAAGTCAATGCTAGAACGAAATCTCAGCTCAACTCTACCAAGGCGCTACCGAAGACGTCCACCACATTGCGATCGCTCCGTGGATACCCAATGCCAACCCTACCGATAGTCCGTGGTCAATTGTACCCATTATCGAGTCTTCTGCACTCGCGCCCTCGACCGTCCGATTCTCACCGTCTTCTGCTTCCCTACAAAGCTTTGCCGTGACGTTACAACAGGTCGCGCCATCCAAGCTATCAAGCCACAGCCGCGGCGGAATCGAGATCCTCGTGCTTGACGTGGCGCCCGTTCCTCTCGAAACCGTCTTTGTGAGCCTGGAGAGTGAATTGACGAAAAGACT